TCCAGTTGCAAACCTTTGGTAGAGACTGATTGTTTCTGCTTGGGTCAGCTGCAGTACTCTATTCATCTGAGAAAGAAACCAAGCCCAGGAGGCTGTTGGGGGCCCCACCTCAGTCACATGGGTGGGGTTGCAACATTGCATGGGGCATAAAAACCCTTCATCTCCTCAGCAGCTGCTTAATTCAAAGACTTGGGTGTGCTTTGCCTGTGTTGCCCAGGACATTTCATCCTAATCTGTCCCTCTATCCCTTTTCATTCTTTTTCTAATTTCCCCTCACACTGCTCTTTGTTCTGGGTTAAGCATAACAGAGAAGTTCAGGGCATTTGTGACACTTGTCATGACCAATCGCTGTTTGTCCATCTCTGTTGTGGCGGCAGGTCTCCCTGGACGGCGAGGTTGATCGAGGCTCTAGAAGCCCTCTTGGTTGTCACTGGTCAATTTTCGCTGCCACGTAGACTGCTGGTTAACCCAACTGGGGCATTGTTCTCCACACCAGACAGAGGAAAGAGCCTGCTGGGAATGAGGCCATCCCTGCCAGCTCTTTTTCTCTTCTGATAAAAGCTGACAGAGGAGCAGAAAGCAGCCATCAGGCTCCCTTAAAGACCTGCCTTGCCGAGGGAAGGGTCATTTGTTCAAGTTTGTACTCAGCATGCATCAAAGGAATGGCAGGTGCTAAAGTAGCTGTATTCCACTGTGTCTTGTCCTGAATAACCTTAGTTGCTAATTTAGAACCACTGGTTAAGTTTTTCTCCTTAAAATTGAATTTGTAGATGATCAACTTTTTTAGGCTTTACACATACCTGGTTTTGTTTCATTCTTTCTCTCAGCCTTGGAACTCAGATTATGTAAACTTGCTTCTTGTGTCTTGGATGTCTTCCCATGGGGATTGGATGGATTTGGGCGAGAGACAGCATAGTTCTCGGTACATTTTTGAGCTTTTGTTCAGGTCGGACTTTTTGTCCTCATAAGAGAAAATTTTAGCCAGATTTTTTTGCTACATCCCTAAGAAATGTTTTCAAATGTTGAGGTGCTCATGTGCTCATGGAACAATTCTATGGAGGTACCAGAACCACTTCTCGTGAGCTCCATTAAGTGTGAGCCAGGGGGCATCAGGTAAATCGAAGGGTAAGGAAATAGGAAGGTTAATATGTGGTGCCCTGGGTGCATGTGGAGCTGTTTTATCTGGAGGTTGAGGGAGTTGTAGAAGATGGGGCTCCATAAGAAGAGAAACCAAAGGCTGGAGGAGACCCCAACCTGACAGTGACAGGGGAGCTAGGAAGCTTAGCCACAGGCAGCAGAACTAAGTGGCCTTTGTCTGGAGAGGAGAGCAGCAAAGCATGGCAATTGAAGCTGCCCCCAACTGCAAGGAACCAGCAACCTGCACTCCTGAAAACAGAGGGGAACTGAAAGCACACACACAAATGTGGGCTGCTCCCTGTGTGTTTCATGCTGATTCTGTGGCTATTATCCTATTTTGAAATTCATATTTAGGGTATTTTTAAATGAGTACTGGGGCTGTAATATATAGCATGGTGAGGTTAGTTACTATTACTGCATTGCATGCTTGAAGTTTGCTGAGAATCCGTCTTAAATATCCTTACTGTACAAATAAAGTCATAATCACGTGGGGTGATGGATTAATTAGCTTCAGGTGTTAATTATTTCACAATGTATATCAAGACATTGGTGGATTAACACATTGTACACCTTCAATGTGAACAATTTTTGTTTTTCAATTATACCTTAATGAAGCTGGAAAAATTTAAAAAGTAAAATAGGATAATATTTTTTGGTTGAGTGCTTTGTTGTTGGGAAATGGCCCTGAACCAACCACATGTTTTCAGTATATGAAATAGCAATTCTTGCTTAATCTCTAGGTAGGACTCAGTTTACCTAGGTAATTTTAGTTAAGATAATGTGAAGATTTCTTTCCTTTTATGTCAGAAATGCTTGTGTTCAATGACCTGCATCTCTGTTTAACACAGTAGCAACACTTTAACACTTAGAGTACTGCCAACCAAATGCCAGTTTATTCTTTACAGCTCCAAAATGAGAACCTAAAATTCACCAGAGGAAAGTCACATGCTCTTCTCTCCCTGCCCTTTGGTCTAGAACTTATTTAGCAAGCAAACTCAGCTAAATGAAATGAAGCAAAGAAACAAAGGAGAGAATGTATGACTATGGCAAGACTTTTAAATTTTTTAATGTTATGAATAAATAACAAAATTACAAAATCAAATACTAAGAGAAGAATAGTAATTATTACACTGTGCATATCATTATCGTCAAAGTGGTTACTGAGAGGACAAGACATAAACCACAAAGATTCTCATCAAAAAGAAATGAATAGATGACAACACAGATTTTTTCTTTCCACAAATTGAGATAAACTAGTAGTATAAATGAAACCAATATACATTGAGATATTTTTAAAACAGTGGAATTGTGGTTTGTGGAAGTATTTGAACTTCTTATTTCCTATTTATCTAGCTTCTATTTTGTTCTCTATTTGTGTTTCTCATATAAAAGAAATCAAGTGATATTTGAGTTTGGGAGTGTAAACTAGTACAACCACTATGGAAATCAGTGTTGAGATTCCTCAAAAGACTAAAAATAGAAATTCTTTTTTACCCAACAGTCTTGTTTCTAGGTATTTTCCCAAAAGAATTAAAATCATTATATTCCAAGGATACATGCATACTCACATTTATAGTAGCACAATTTATAATAGCTAGATCTTAGAAACAGTGTATATATCCATTAAAAGATGAATAGATAAGGAAAATGTATTTATACAGGATGGAGTATTACACTCCCATAAAGAAAGATAAACTTGCCCCAAGTCTTTTATAGTCTCTCTTAGTAAGTGACAGTCTAAGTGTTGATGTTTTAACCCCATGGCCCATTGAGCTCCAAATTCTCATGAAATCCCTGGGGACTCATTGAGAACCAAGAAGAGACTGCTATCCCTAAAGTTCCACTGGATTTGCTCTATATCTTGGGACTGCCTTTCAAAATTTTTTAAATGATTCCTTTTTGTATAAGTCAGCTTTCCCGTCACTGAGAGGCAATACATGGCACCCATCACTTAAAGGATGAGAGTTAATTTGGCTTATGGTTTCAGGGGATTCACTCCATGCTTGGGTGGCTCCAAGACAGAAACATCATGGTAGGACATGGCAGAGAAAACATGCTTAGTTCATGGCAGGACACAGAGCAGGCGAACAGTGCCAGAGAGGAGGGGCTGTGTAGGCTCAAAGCTCTACAGGCTCAAAGGCTATGCCTCTAAACTCCACACAGATACATCTGGAAGTGGACCTCACTCATCCTCTGGGGACTTCTTTATCCATTCAAGTGTACAGAGCAATTAATCGTCACCCTCTTGTTTATAATTAAATTTGAAAATGGTTTTCACGTGACACATAGTCTCCACTACACTCCAGTGGATTTGCCATTGTGATCTGTATTTTGTGGATGAGGGACTGAGGCTTGGAACATTCACATTGCAGAGGGGACAGTAGTGCTCAGTGGCTCACCAATCAGTGTTTCTGTACCGCTCACTCAGAAGTCAGGAAGGCAGCCTCTGAAAGGAGTTACTAAAAGTTCCTACTCTTAACACTTATGCAAGTTCCTTAGATTGGAGCCCCTCAATTTCACTCAGGCCTTCTGCCATCACCATGGACATGAGCATCAGATTGCTGGCCCTGCCTTTGATAGTGTCCAACAGATACTGGACCAGGAGTCAGACAGAAGTTTGCTAAAACCCAAACAAGGCTGCTTTTCTGGAGCCTATGGTTCAGTGGGGAAGATACATGGAGAGGAAAGAACAAACAATACTTTTATTTTCAATTCTGAGAAGCACCAGGTCCAGAAGAGATAAGCAGTATTGACTTTGATGGGACAGGAGAGGCGCTAGAGACGGGTGCAGAGGAGACCTCTGAGCAGTGAAGGTAAGAGCTGTGGGAAGCAGATGCAGAAGCCAGTTTTAGCCCTGGTGCTCATAGCAGCTATCTGCTAAGAGGGCCTGCCTGTGGGCTGACTAATATTAATTCTTCCACCAGCTTTGTGGGAAAATAGTGACCGTGGGTGTGAATTTACAGAGCAGGAAGCTGAGTTCTGAAAGGTCGTGGAGCTCCCTGAGGTGCAGGCCTGTGGAGGGCAGCTGGATTGAGCCCTGAAGTCATTTGGAGCCCTGGGTTCTCAGCCCACAGCTCCTGCTCAGGACAGTCATTACCGCTTCGCTTCGGTGGCGGTGGCGGTGTTATGGAATCATAGTGCTACTCACCGCCAATCTGGTGTATGCTGCTTGTTAGCCCCAAATTAGATTCCCACGCTCCCTTTTCCTGCTTGCTCCAGGCCCGAGGGATTATTGGCAGCCCCCTTCCTCTGCGAAGCTCGCAGCAGTGTTCCCCAAGCCCTGTCAGTGGCCCCCACCACCGTCCTCTAACTTGCTCTCCTAACATGAGCGTTCAGATCCTCCTCTTTGAACCCGACCCCTTGTCACCACAGGAGCTTAGCCAGGGAGGGACCTGTAAACGCATGCACTGGGGAGCGTGGGACTTAGGTGCAGTTTGCGGGCCACGAGGCTGTGACATTCATCTAATGATCTGACCACTCCCCACTCCACTAGGAAAGGTCTACGCTGTTGGGATTCTGCTGGAGGCTGCTTCTCGAGGTCTGATTGCTCAGTTTGTGGGCTGCAGACTTACTGAGTTGGAACACTGGGTGGCAACTAATAGCCACTTAGATGCTTATTTGTGGGAAGACAATTCCAGTTTTTTAACTTTGCTATGACCTTGCCTTCTGCTGAAATATTATACAGTAAGTCTCTGACTCATGAACAAGTTCCTTTCTGGGAGAACATTCTTAAATTGGATTGATTCATAAGTCTGATAAAACGAATCTTAAAAATCTTTGATATGTGTATACACTGTAAAGCATATAAAACCAAGCCCACACACAACAATACAAATATAATCAAATTATTTTTACTTTTACAGCTACCTTAAAGTGGTGGTACAGTATGGTATGACAACTGGCCTTCAGGAGATCGCTGTTCCTCTTGTGTCCGGACAGTCTGGGCTCTGACCGAGCACTGTACCACCGTACACTATCCGCACTGTACAGTGAGTGCACAGCAGCACAGCTATGACAGTGTCCGGCAGACACGTGAGCTACTTCCATGATTTGTCCGTATCTACAGATGTTTGTAATGCAAGGTCTCTTTCTATCTGTGAAAGTTCACAACTCAAATGTTTGTAAGTTGGGAGCTTACTGTACTTGGGTGATTTCCACAGTTTGTTTTCCCAGTTTAAAAATGAAATTAGACCGTTTCTAATGTTCTATATAAACCCCTCACTATACAACAGTACTTAAAATTTCTAAGGATAATTTAATTTCATTAGGACAAGTCACACATAAAAAAAGCCTTTACTCACCTTTTTTCGATTGCATGTCCAAACAAGTTCCTTCCAGCTCCAGGCCGAAGTTGCCAACATTAAGTCAGAGGTTTTCATACACCTCTTCCAGGTTTCAAGAATTTAAACATTTGAGGGAGAAAAACTTTATATTCATTACATTATTTTAACTTAACAGTTATGCCAGGATCCTGGCGAGGCAGTATCTGTTGTCCTTGGTTTATCATTGATAACCACTTCATCCTTCCACACTCGGGGAAGATTTTCCACAGGGACTGAAAAAGACGAGGTAAATGGTTTCACTGAATTTATATTTTAGCGAAGGGAGACAAATAACAGTGTGAAAATTAATTCAAGAAGAGTAATGTCACATGGTAAACAATGATAGGAAGGAAATGAGATATTATGATGGAGACCCAGCTTGCACCTGGTGGCAGGGATTCCACCTTACGGAAGGAGACAGGGGAGGCTGTTAGCTGTGGTAACCACTGGAGACATGGACATAATTTGAAAAAGGTTAAAAAGAAAACCGTTCTGAACTGCAGGGAAGTAAACTTAGAAACAGAGACGTGTGTCAGGTGTCTAGGGACATCCAGAGAAGTTGGGGTGGTTCCTGGACCAGCATGGCAGTAGCAGAGATGGGAAGAAGCAAGTAGAGTGCACAGCAACTTCAGAAGCCACCTTGGCTGGCTTTGCTCATGGGCCACATGTGGGAGTGAAGGAAAGGACGGGAGTCAGAATGAGTCTCCAGCTTCCTGGCTGAGCAACTGTGAGGATGGGTACTGTCACTGTTTTCTGAAATGGAGGAGCCTAAGCAAGCCAGGATCTGGGGTGCAAAGCACACACTCTGCTTTGCAATTTTGAAAGCTAGAGATTCACATTCCATATCAAAATGGAGTTGTTTGTAGGAAGAGGAGGAGAAGGAACAAAGGAAAGTTGAGAAAGGGCTGTCAGTAAGGCAAGTTGGGAACTGAGAGTGTTGTCATAGAAACCAGCAGCAGAAGGTGATCCATGGAAGAGGGAGTGGCTGCCTTGGAAAGTTGATCCTCAGGGCTGTGGAAGAGAACCTTCTGGATGGCCCGACTTGGTGGATTTATGGAGGGAGGTGAAATCTGATTGAATCAGTTCTGGGGAAGCTGGGAGATAAGACAGTGGAAGAGTCAACCCTTATTGGAGTCATGCTGTGGAGGGGCACAGAGATGGGGCACTGGTCAAGGTCCTGGCATGTTAACTGTCGAAATGGGGATGAGATGTTGGTCAGCTTTTCATTGCTGGGACAAATGCCTGACGTCCCCAGCATAAAAGAGAAAAGGTTGATTTTTGACTCATGGTTTTCAGAGGGTTCAGTCCATGGTCTTCTGATTCCAAGGCAGAAACACTGTGAATGATCCATGATTAAAAAGAGAAGGCAGAGTAGAGGCCCAGCCTTGAAGAATCTGGTAAACTTGGTGCTCAGAGGAAGGAGCACCTCTCCTGGCTTTTTTTTCTCCATATAACATGATTAGAAAGTATCTAAAGAGTAGAGTATTTGTGGACAGGTTACATTAACATTGAAAGGTAGCTGAGAGGAAACTTGGAAGATGAGAGAGACACCCAAGGAAAAGATATTCATAGTTTAAAAAATTCATTTTAGCTGAATCTTTAGAAAAACATATGCTTTGGAAATAAAATTTGCAATGTATAATTCAAATCTGTGAGATAGTAGACCTTTCCAAAGCACAGATAAATGCAGGAAGCCGGGGCCCATTAATTACCCTGACCCACCCGTGTTTTCAGTGCTGCTTGGCTGATTTTTGTTCTTTAGCACACAAATAGATCCAGTGCCTTTTATCCTCCAGATGCTCATGAACTCTGCTCTGAAGGCTGATAAATGCAGTCTTTTCCTGGGGCAAGCAAACAAGAAAGAGACTATGATCTGCGTCCTCGCTTCTGACACCTATGCGCTCCTTTGTACCTGTCAAATCTGTCCCACCTCTCCTTCCTTCATGCTTTCTTTTTTTTGCTGGACATCTGCAGTGGCTTCACCATCTGACACTCTTCCTGCACATTTCTTTCTTCCTCACCTACTCCTCTAGTCCCGTTTCCTGTTCCCACCCACAAGTATAAGTTGTAGATCAACTGAATTATTATACCTTTACTAACTGAATTATTATATCTTTACTAAAGTATCAATCTTTCCTGTTCTGGACAGACACACACTTGAGATACTTATTAATTCTCATTAATTTGTAAATCAGTGGACCCATCAATTCATTAACTACCCAACTTTAAAATTGATTACTTAGAATTTTCATTCACTCATTTTTTAGCACCAAGCACTCAAGGCACAGAAGAGAGGCAAGAGGACCTCTGCTTCTCTTCTCAGATCCAACTCCGAATGGGATGTCTCCCTAGTTCCTTGACCCTGTGTCTGGCCTTAGCTGGGTCGGTTTCCCTCTTCTCCGCTCTCCGCTAACAGTCATACACCTTCATGGCGGTCCTGGCTCAGTCTCTTCCTGCTGACTCACTTAGCTGAGAAGCTTGGGAACTGAGATGCAGGGGTCTGTTCCTCATCTCTGGTCATGGTTGCAGCTCAGTAAGAAATCCAGAATCACAATTACAGGAATGAATGAGGGAAAGTTTGAGCCCTCTTTTTGCCTCCCTATTTTTAGTGCTTCCAAAATGACACTGCTTTTAACGACCCATTTATATGAGCTTCCAGATAGCCTGCTATAAAAGCATTGCTATTTGATCATCGGATCAGGGGTCAGATTAGATGGTCTGTTAAAAGTTTCTCTCAGTTCTCTCTTGGTAATATATCCGTGGGTATGGAGGGTTATCCCAGGTGACAAGGCTGACAAGGAGCTAATGAAATCCTAGGCTGGCTTACTAGAGAAAAGAATGCTGTCCAGTTCACAGAGGATAATAAGCCCCCTGTACTCAGCACTTCCAAACCCACACTAGAAGACCGTGACTAATTCCAGGTGGCTTACTGAGCCAGGAGAGCCCTTCTCTGATGTTATCCAGAGAGGGCAGTGGGCAGTGAACCCTGTCTTACATAAGCAGAGAGTGAACATACTGTTAGTGTTCAATGGCAAAAAGAGACATCAGCACAGAAACAAGTCTTTGCTCATCTGAGGTCTGTTTTTTTGGAAGAGGAATTAAATGTATTCCATTGAACTTTCAGAAACAGACCTTTTAGGTAGGAATTGCCCACAGAGTAGATTTTAGTTAATTATAAGTAAGAATATCTTAAGAATTGGGATAGGCTGCTTTTTATATTACCTAGTCTCTGAATGACAGCTCTGTGTGAGAAAAAGTGACTCTTTGGGAGATAGAGAATCTCATCAGATCAAAGGTTTCTACTGTCCCAAGCTGGTGACCTTATTTTCCTCATCTCCAAAAAGGATTCAAGAAGAAATGAAATTTAATTACACCAGGACAATTTAGGCAATAAGAAAAAAAATATTCTTGAACCACAGAAATATTCATGAGTAGATTGACTAGATGCCTTAGGAGATTTTAAGTGCAAATTAACTTGAAAAATACTCTGGATAGTAGTTTATTAAAGGAATTTAGTGACTAATTCAATGTCAAAGGAAGTAAACAGGCAGATTCTTATTACTCCTGGTTTAATTTGATCAATATGATGTCTATCTCCCATAGCAAGGCATTTTTGAGGATGGGAATATTTTAAATAAGAAAAGCAACAATAACAATAAACAAGACAGAAAGGGCAGAGGGGGGATTAGTATTTTAATTAATTTGTCAACTGTTTGCTAACAAAATACACTAAGGAGCTTGACTGTAATATCTTGGAGAATCCAAAATTATTGCATTGTTCAAAAAAGATTAGTCTTAGTCCAAAAATCTTGATATTTATTTTTATCTTAAGTCATTACTGACAAACATTTGAATTTTTTAAATGTCAGAAAGTTCTTCCTCTCAACTAATTTTCACCCCATATGTGGACTTCATAGACACAGTTTTATTTTAACTAATCAACAAATATGTATTTTTATTTTAGTATTAAGAAGTGAATTTTCCATGTCTCTTGTTTTTATGGTTTATCTATACCATCTTTTCTGCAGGCATATAAATTCCATTACCATTAATAAGAGTTACATAATGAACATGTATACTCATTAGTGTCTGATGCACCTCTCAAGGTTATCCGAAGGTGTGGGAGTTTAATGAGCACCCAATGAGAACTCTGGTGCCTCTGGTTAAGAATATCTATCATCTCTGTGATACAGACATCATAATCTCACACAGAGAAGTCAGTAAAATTCCAGTCCCAAATGGTCTCTTTTGTTATTAATCACATATATGAAAGTCACTTTCTGTTGGCAAACTTATGACCTTTAATTTAGTTCATTAATACTTGAAATCTGCTACTCTCTTAAGTACTTTAGCATAATTTAAATTTTCATGTAGTAAACACCCTCCGTGATAAATAATATTATAGAAACTGGAAAAATATAGGTCATATTTTAAAATAGCATGCTCATACATATTAAAAACTGCATAAAATTAAGAGTAAACTATTTCTGTTATTGCTCTTTTTTTCTTGTGATGATGAGGATTGAAGCCAGAGCCTTCACACTGAGTTATTGTTTTATTTGGGGACAAGGTCTCATTAAGTTACCCAAGTGGGACCCTTCTCCCTCAGCTTCCCTCAGTGCTGGGATTACAGCAGATGTCACTGAAACCAGTTTTTTTTGGGGGGGAGGGGGCATTTCTTCAAAGAATAATCTACAATGGAAGAATCAATAATCTGTTCACATGTTGTGAATGAAGCTAGTTTAGACCATCCAGGCCAGCCTTATCATCTCTTCATGAATGTCAGTTCTTCATTATACATATTAAGAAAGAGGAAATTATTTCTAACTGTACAAGATTTTCTGAAAATTCTAACTGATGTTTTCACTTAATTATTTTATTTGCCAGTTTCAAAAAATCAGATAAAATATTTAAAGTGGAATTGTTTATCAGGATCCTCAGTAGCTTTGTACATTTTCAGCTAAACAAAGTTCTTGACATCTCTAATGTTTTTGGCTCTGTCACTAGCAACACTTCTCAAGGTAATTTTTAAAGTCACTTACTGAAAAGTTTCTTTCCCACAGAACTGACTAGTTAATGAATGTTCTTCTTCATTATATAATATTGTTTCCAATGACAAAATGTGGTAACACATGTAAATGTATTTATGACTATAAAAGGCTGTGTTAGTTACTTTTCTCTCATGGCTGAGACAAAATATCCGACTCCCAAAGTTAGAAGGGAAGGGGCTTATTTGGCTCCCAATTTTCAGAGGTTTCAGTCCATGATTGGCTGGCTCCAAGGCAGAGTGGATGGCAGACAGTCATGGGAGAAACAACACGGCTTGTACAAAGTAGCAAAGGTAACAAGGGAGTTTAGCAGCATTTTTCTGCCCCTTTTATCTTATTCAGCCTACCGGGATTAGGGCGGTGCCAAACTAATAGCTCAAGTGTAGTGGTTTAGCAATCACACGCCAGCCCCAGCATCACATAGTCCAGATTCAGCTACCTCTGAAAAAGAAAGTTCCACCTCATCCACATGAGGCCATGCGGGGACATCTACATACAAACCCTAACAACGGCTTTCTAGGTATGTTATTTGTTTTCTTTGGTTATCAGCAACAGTGGTCTCCCAAGTTGATAGCTTTGGAATGAGAATTTGGTAGTGCAATAGACATGCAGAAAGGTTGGTTTTCACACATCTTTGAAACAGAGTTCTAGCACTTGCTCTTTCTTTCTCTGTCTCTCTCGTCCCTTTGTGCACCTTGCTCTTTTCCATTTCTCTCTGTCTCTCTCTCACATTCATGTATCCATTCCCACATGTTTCAACTGATTTGCCACTTTTATGTATATGTACTGTTATTCAGATGGATACCTAATGGATTTCTTAATGCTCCAGGATCAAAAGAAGCATGAGGAATGAAGTTCCAGGTACACCAGGAGATGGAATCCAAGAGGTAAAACTAAAAAATGAGCCAGTGGATATCATAGTATAATTCATTAAGCCTGCCAGATCCTCTCTAGAGTAAAATGAGAAGAACAAAGCAAGGGGGAAGATCCAGGGCAGGAAAAATGGAAACACCAGAGTAATTGGCTGGATGTTCATAAGGAAACCATTATTAATCGATCCTATAGAGGTGTTATTATTTTATTTATAACGAGGTCTTAGTTCATTCAGGCTGCTTAAAAAATAGCATAGGCTAAGTACTTTATAAACAATAGAAGCATTTCATACACTTACAGAGGCGGGGAAGTCCAAGATCAGTGGCTCTTCATATCTGCTGGGTAACGAGGGGCCTGTTTCCCAGTTCCTTGGTGATCACTGGCTCATCTTTGCAACCTCACATGGTAGGGAGAGGCCTAGAGAACTCTCAGGTATCTCCTTTATACGGCACTAATCTCGTTCATGAGGGTCTTAACCTCACGAACTAAGGACTCTCACGAACTCATCAGTTCCCAAAGACCACACTTCTCAGTACCAACCCACTGGGGGTTAGCTTTTCAACATATGAAATTTGGGCAGAGAAAACATAGCATTCATTCTACAACATCAAATAGTAAGCAAATGAGTAAGAATTAGAATTAGTAATAGAATCCCATTGATAATTACCAAATTTCTCTTTAGGAAGTTCAATGTTACCTTCTTTATAAGGAAGCATAGTCATTATGTAAGAAAACACTAGATTATGATTATTTGGATCTCATTTTTCCTTCTCCTGGTCACTCTCTAGAAGGGGATGCACTATGTAGAAAATAGACTAAAGATAAAAAAAAGAAAGAAATAAGATATCTAAGTGAATGGAAACTAGATCATTACCATCTGTAATGAATTTGGCATATAAACAAATAGGATTCAGTATGAATCTCAAATGTACATGTACATAAAAAAATCCCATGGTTCTAGTGCATGTTGACAATTATCAAATTAAATGAATAAATAAACCTTGAAGATGCAATGCTTTTTTGATAAAGTTACTGTGTTGGAGAAGTAAAGTAGCTACTGAGTTTATATCAAAATTCTATTAAAGACCTTTATATTTTAGCCTACAGGTTGCACACAAAACATAATTATATGGCAATACAGAAGTTTACAAAGTGTGTGCACCATGTACAAAAGGACTAGAAATGCTGGTAAGACCACAGTAGCTGCTGATGCCTTATCGATAGAGGTCATAGGACAGCTCTCCCTGTATCATGTCAATCATTCCTTCTTTTAAATAACACTGTGATTGCATTTTTAAAAAGTTTTACTTTTGAGTAGTTTAGGTTCACATAAAATGAAGAGGAAGGTACATAAACAGCCCTTATGCCCCCAACCCTACTTGTGAACAGAATCAATGCCATTTGTGACAGCTGATGAACCTACACTGATCCATCATCATCACCCAAACTTCATATCTTAGGTTAGAGCGCAGTCCTGGTGTTGTGCCTTCTGAGGATCTGGACAGATGCATAATGACAGGTATCCACCACTGCGGTATCATGCAGAGTAGTTTCATGTCCTAAGCATCCTCTGTTCTCTGCCTATTTACTCATCCTATCATTACTTCTTTAAGCAAAGAAGAATCGGATTCACTGAAGGAGCTGATCCAGATAAGTGTGTAGCTGGGGAAAGGCAAGAATTAATTGTGAAACGTTTCCAGTTGATGACTTTTACAGCTGATAACATTTTCTGTACATTCACTTGGTCATTTACACTATCTAATATTTCTGAGCATTTAGCATTTTACCCTTGAAAAGTTACGGAAATCATAACCAGGTTTTTTTGAAAGCAAATCTGTTAGGATCAGCATTTTCCTGAAAAAGTCATAAAGAAATGACTCATTGCAATTTCAGCAGTTAATGTGTTTGGGGTGGGCGCTTTAAAAACATCAACTTGTAGACCAGCTGCAGAGGGATATCTTCTGGGAAGTAAGAAGGTTAGGTCAAAGTTTCATCCTTTAGGACTGAGGATACCCCAGGGTGAACAAAATCGTGTGATCCAAGCTGTGAAGAGAAGTCATTTTAAAGTGATAGAACTAATGAAAAAAATCTCAGCTTTTTCAGGAGTCCTTGGTTTTCTGTGAAACTTAGTGAAATCAGAAAATCATAACACTGATGAAAGACGTGCAAAAGAGAGCATTAGAGAAAAGCTTTATAACCATTTTCTAGCTCTCCACAGTTCTTTCCCCTATATAGTAACAGTAGTCTGGAAAGATTCCATGCCATACTCAGAAATATTTTCCTTCATAAACCACTGCTAGAACTAAGTTTTCTGTTTAATAGCACAATAATCAACTGAAAAGTGAAAATGATATTAAATTGACTTTTGCTCTTATCTTCTTTTCTACTCCTGTGTATAGAATTAAAATGCAATCATTGAATTGGGGAATCCTTCAGGAAATTAGTCAATGTTGAACATTCAGTTTATTTACCTTGCTCGTGTATTTACCCAACTTTATAAAAACTTTTCAGCTGTATAAATTCAATATGATAAGGAAAATATGTATAATAAACATTATTCTGCATAAGAGTAAAATCAATGTAAGAGAGTAAGATGAGTTTACAAGAAAAGCTAGCCAACAAAAATGCATGAGACAGAGCTTGTTTGTCTAATACAGTTGTGCTAAAAGCTCTGACTTTTTAAAAAAATAAAAACGAAATAAACATATACTCTCAGCTACATGATTTTCCTGTCCTTAAACCATCTGACTACTGTCAGATGCTACCTGCTACCGTCTAGCCAGGGTCCTATGGTGAGCAGCTTCTAGAGTATCTGCCTTGTACCAGATGTTTCAAATGCATCTTTCAGTTTTCTTAACAATTTTTAAAGAAGATGCTGTAATTTTCTTTACAATGATGGGGAACTGGAGCTACAGAGTGCTTTTGTGACTTACACAGAATCTCAAAAGCAAAATGCTGTGAACCAGAGATTCACATCAAGTTTCTTGGAGGTCAGAGGACAATTTCTTTCTGCACAATTCTGCTTCTCAATCACAACTCTTGTATTGTCAGTTGTGTGAAGATTGTGATTGTCTTTCTAAATTGACTGACTCAGGTTGAGTAATTATTTCTGGGAGACTTAGCTGTTTGGAGATCAGTACATGTATCTGATAGTGGGCAACTGTTTACTTTTTCCAGGTATCTATCTGATATTAAGAAAATGTAATCCAAGTATTGTCAGTAGGGTTTGAAATATTCTGAGCACCAGGCCAGGTGCCCTGGTGTGGGCGACGTGTGAATAGATATTTAGTTCTACATTTGTCTCTTAAAAAGGCTGAAAAATCGGGCTAAATTCCAAATACTGAAAATGTAATAATAAAATATTAAAATAACGCTTAAATGCAAATATAGAAGTGCTATCAAAAAGCAGTATAAAGTAAATGGATATATGAATAATACAGATTATCACTGCTAGAGAATTTCAAAGTAGGGATACATCACTTTTATATAGCTGATTAGGAAGGGCTTTAAAGAAGAGAGCAAGACCCAATAAATGATTGGATTTGCTTTGTTTCTTATTGTTATTTATATAAATTCAACAGAAAACTGCACGATGAATCCTAGACCTCAAAAAATTATATTCAGAATATTGGACTTTCCCCCAATCATCTTTTTGGAGATTTCCAATAAAGGAAATGCATTGATTTTTTTGTGTGTCTTAGAATTTGCAAGTGATTGTTTTGAGGTCTATAGACACACAGTAGAAAAGAACATAATAGTAGCAGTTGGAAGAAATGAACTACTGCAAAAGACACCCCTTGGGAAATAGAGAGGTAGAATTTTCCTCCCTGAGCAGTTGAGGAAATTGAAGAAGAGAAACAACTTTAGTTGCCTACGCATTCTTATTAAGGCTGAAGAAACCAGTTTTAAAGTTTGGCTCTTGATTCAGGATCTTGAACTTCAAAGGGACTGGACCACTTAGGAGGCATGCTGTCCTTATAAAATCCAATCTTCTCAGTATCTTGTTGCCTTTTGGCATGACATGCTCCATATTTCTTTTATAATGAAAGTAGCGTATTTTGATCTTTTTCGCTTAATATAAAATGAGCTGCTATTCCATGGGTTAATTCCCATGCTGTTAACACTTCATAAATTAAAGTGTGTTTAGAATGAGATCAGCTTGCCCGATTAGTTCTCAGCTCTTTTCTAATCCATGCTTGAATGCCTTCATCAGACAGGCGTCTGAAAATTTACCTGTTTGCATTCTTAAGCTGTTACTTTAAGCTGGTAGCAGACTGAAGTCATTGTGGACTTATATTAATTTAAAAAAAATTCAGACACTTAAATAGTCGTTCAGAAGTTTTCTTTTCCCATGGTGTTATATGTGACTTGTTTGATCATACTTTCTAACTTTTGAAGAGGTTTCCAGAAAAAAGTGGAGACAGCTAGACAGCCAGGGGACTGGTCAGGTGGATTGATCCATCAGGATCAGGCAGGAGGAAATGGTTAGGAATGGTGGATTTATTTTGAAGAGAAGTCTGAGTAGAAGCTCTGCTCTTCCTCTGAGTGTTCGCAGGAGCACTGGAGATGCTGAAAAACGAAGCAGCTGACATATCAACACCAGTGTCAAATGCATTTCCTTCCTCTCAGGTTAGGCAAATATCAGTCATCTTTCACGTCCGATACTATGACACTTAGAACTCAGCTTTAATTAAGATCTGTCCCAGCCAACCCCCAATGGCCACCCCACAGTCACAGCCCTTCAACTGCATTTCCCATCTGTTCCTCCAAGTTGCTAGCATCACTGCTGCCTCAGAGATTTTGCGTGCCTTTTCCCCTTTGCTTGTTACGCTCTTCTCTGTGGCTTATGTAGTTCTCTACTCAAAGGGTCACAGAAGTCTGTCCTGAGTATTCCATGTAAATACCAGCCAATACCTATTCCCAGCTTAGTCTCTGTCCTTCCCACTAGAGCACAAATTGATAAATATTTGCTGTTGACTTTGTCTCCTCCCGCTAGAATGATAACTTCGTGAGGGGATAGTCATTGCTTCTTCTTCATCTTTTTTTTTTTGTCTGCTACCAGGGACTGAACTCAGGACCTTGTGCTTGCAAGGGAGGCATGGTGCCTTCGAGCTTAATTCTTGGCCCTGTCCTTGCTTCTTTTATTCACCATTACATCTCCAATGCTAAGGACTGTTGTCTGGTGCATAGTAGGTGCCCAATAATGTTTTTTGTGAATACATAGTAGTCCATTTCCTTCCTTTCTGAATTTGTATTACAAGCTCTGTCATACTATTTTGCAGTTGCTTTTAAGAAGACTCGAACAGCCATAAAGGTAGTATCCATAATTTCTGCTCTTCCTGATTCACTTCTGAAAGTCACTTAGCTGGTATAGAGGACAGACTCCTGCAAGTCAGGAGCACATGGAGAGTATTGCAGACAGAGACTGGCATTCCCGGACTCATGAGGCTCTCTACTGCCTTTCTCATGAGTAGTCTGGATCTATGCTGTGGTGCTGTATCCAGCCACTTCATTCTTATTGTCTTAATTTATAATTGAATTGCAAGTCTTGTGAGGCAGGGACCGTGTAAGATAGATGTGTGCACATGCAAGTGTTCTGCAGTGTCTTCAGCACATACTCGGCCCATAACTGATGTTTAAGAAGTTATCTATGCATCAAAGCATGATTTAGATATAAATATTCCCCTACCCCCAAAATCTCGTATGTTCAGAGGTGGGGCTTTTGGAAAGTGATTGAATTATGGGGGTGATGTACTCATCAGTAGATTAATCCATGGAGTTCCCAGCTGAATGAGCTGTTAGGAGATGAAGCCCGGTTGAAGGAGGTGGGCCCCTGGCTGTGTGACCTGGCAGGATGCGTTCTTGTCCCTAGCTCTTCCTTCTCTCTCTACTTCCTGGCTGCTACGGACTGAGCTGCTTTCCTCCATTATGCTCCTCTACCATATTATTTTTGCCTGGTAGGCAACCAATTATGGACTGAACCCTCTGAAACTGTGAGCTAAAATAAACCACTCCTCCTTTAAATTGTGGGTGTTGGGTATTTTGTCCCAGCATCACGAAAGTGACTGATACATGAAGTATTGGACAGACTGAATTAATTTGTACAGAGACATGTTTTCCATTCTGCCAAATCAGTAGATATTTGGAGAGCTGTCAGTGCTTCCTTTGTTGTGATAGAAAACTTTGATTTGAAATTTTCAGAGTTACATTTTAACACAGTATTTAGCACAGAATAATGCAGAGGAAAAACTCTCTGCAAGTAGACAACTCTGTGATATTAGAGTAGAAATTCTGTGACATATTCCTGCTTAGTCTTCTGACCTTTTAGTGACAATGTGATAACAAGAAAATAGAAGATTATCCTAATTTAAATTGCCATTGACTTTCTTATATTCACTTTGACAAGCCAAAATTAGGTATATATTTCATGCATACACATGGAAATTATGGTAACAGTGTCATACTTCAGTAAACTTGTAGTCAAAGTCTGCAAGTTCTTCCTGTCATTTCATATAATGTGTTCGGATTTACTAAGTTGCACATTTCACTGTTCCTCCTTTTTAAAAATAAAAACATATTTTTTCTGAAATCAATTAGAGGCATCTTACATTTTCAGGATTCCTCTTCTATACAGTTTACACAGGTAGCTCAAATCGCTTTATAAACAGCTCTGCACTTTTGTATACTTATAGAAAGTGGCACCTTGTTACATTACTAAAGAAGAAAGTAGGAGTCACTGAGTCAAGTGACTACGTCCTGAGATACACTGGGCAGTCAGCAGGGGGTTTCTGAGAATTGAGGTGCCCAGAAAAGCTTAATTATTCTAACAAAATCTTCTAGCTCTTCCAGTAAATCTTACTTTTGCTTTGGGATTGAGTCTAATCATTTCCCTCTTTAAGGCAAATATTTATGAAGAAAGAAGACGTAGTAAGACATACCACACTACCATGGCTTTTGGGGGATATCTTGGACTGTCACAGAGGTGAAAGGTAGCAGCACACTCACATCTAAGACTGCTCAGGTGAGCTTATCTTGAATGTCTGGAACAATGTGTATAGTTTGTCTTTTCCAATAATATATTCATTTTAATCCTTCACCAGAAAGGCTGGTGCACTGTAATATTCCCTAGTCATCTATTTGTAGGAAAATGAAAGGGTTTCATAGTCAAATTAATTTGGATAATGCTAACATAAATAAAATTAAACAAGCTTCCTACAGGCCTGTGGAACATTAAGGGATGTTAAAAAGGTCTGACACAGGATGGGGTGAGTGGGCTGGAGGGAAACCAAGTTGTATTTACTAGGAGTTGCTAATGCTGACACCATATGCTTAGGGTCAGGTGTGTACGCTCTGTCCTGCGGGGTACTCTGGGGATCAAATGAGCTCACAGGTGTGAAACGCTAAACCCCAAGGCGGCATCAGGAAACGCTGTATGGTGGGGATTTCTGGAAGGTCTGCTTTCTCCTCCTTCACTCGTTTGCCCTTTGCTCTTTAGAAAATCAAGACATTCAGATCAGTATTAAATAAAAATTATTTTACATCTTCAATATTTTATTGATCTTCAGGAATGTCTAGAAAATATTTGAATCCTTTCCTATCACATTCTTGGTTAGTACAAATGCTGGTGTTGATTTCCTCTAAGTTATTTTCACATGAACTTATTTGTGTGACTGTTAATATTTAATTGATATGATAATAATTCTATATAAAGTGAAAGGTAGATTTAAAGTGGTTTTAGGATGCTTATTTGTCAAGGTCAGTTTCTTGGATCATATGTAAATTAGCAGTAGAATATTAAATAGGTGATACTCAAATTTATTTAATGTATTTTGTAGATTATCCCAAGTTAGATATCATTTTTCCCTTGTTTAAAGTCAGACTCTTTGAGATTGCAACAAACTAACATTTTCATGTGCTTTTTCTGGTCATATGAAGTATGAACTCTGTACTAAGGCATAGCTGTGTATGTTTCTTAGAACTCACTTCCTAAAGAAAACTAAGATCAATGATTATAAGAAGTGACATTCATGAACGTTAGATGAAAACTAAGAAATTTTCTAAAATGAGTAACTATTTGAATTATTGAAAAGGACTATATGGAAAAATAAAAATGATACATGTAAACTTTCATGAAGCAATGGGGATTTTATTTTATTAAATTTTGTGTAAATTTTTAGAGAATCTATGAACTTCTTAGAGTACCTTAAGATGGCATTTTCTGGTAATTTTATCTAAATAAACACTAAGAGAAGCAGGTTATGAAAGATGATAACAGTCTACATTTGTTCTGACCCAAATAAGTCCCTGAATTTTTAATTCACTTATAGAAGCATCATTTCTAACTATATTTTAAAATTGTTCTAGATAGCAATGTGAAAAACTCTGAATCTCAGAGACTGCATTGCAAGAATATTTGCATGGACTCAGAATAACTCAATGTTATTTTTGATAAAGAGAGCAATTTTCAAGAACATTTCTCAACTCATCATGCACAATTGTTGACAGTTTGCCATCGAAGTCATTTTAACTTTGCAACCCTTTGAAATTTGTGTAGAGGCTTTGTTTTACACCAAAGTAGATGAGAATATAAGGAGCAACCAAAATAAAATCTTTCTAAGCATGCCTGGCTTTGTAAGGATTTATAACGGTATCACAGCATTCATGGATCAGTGAACACGAATTTGTTTTTAAAAAAAGCATAGACATATAGAGAGTTTCAGAGAGACTGTCTAGGCATGATAAAAAGAAAACCCACTAGTATAATTCAGTAGATTTGGACTAAGTACTGCAGTCTTTGGGATTTGTTAAATTTGCCCTAGGGTTTGGCTCTGTAAAAACACATCAACATGATACAGAATGTAACCAGCACCAGGGAACCATTCGGATCTGATGTGGTCAGTTGTCCCAGACACAACTGTAAGAGTTTGTTGAAACTTCCTGTCCCAGGGTCTCAGAGAGCAAAACAGGAGGCCAAAATTTTCCATATTTAAATCAAGAATCTAAGAAGAAATCCTGGAAGGAATCCTAAGAAGAAATACAATACTCAGGATATTGACACTACAATTTGATTTTCTGTGTTTTCTGTTTTTTTTTTTTTTTAGTTCTTTTAAGTGTTTTATATTTAGTACTTAAAGATTTCCTCCACCAAACACCAAACCAAACCAAAACCCCCCACAGGCAAGCAAGCAAACAAACAAAAAAACAAAAACTGGGGGCTGGGGATGTAGTTTAGTGATAGAGGACTTACCTAGCATAGAGTAGGCTCATTCACCATCTGATTTTATTGTAGTGCTAAGTATTAGGTAGGAATTCACCTTTATTCTTCTTCCTTGGTAGGAATCCTGTCGTAGTCCATTTGCCCTGCTAATTTAAAATGACATCTTCAGAATGCAGCACATTTCTATGCACACTTGTGTCTGTTTTAGAAACTCCTATTGTATTCCATTGACCTCTCTGATTATGTACTAGCAGAACACTTGATCATTGAAACTTCAGAGTATATTTTTATGTCTATAAGGGTTTGTATCATTATTATTTCTCAGAAGTTTTCTGGATGCCCTTATTTTATTTTATTTTATTTATTTTTCCATGCAGCATGTAGAATCAACATATCTTCTTCCAAATAGATTCACATTGGTATTTTAATTAGAACTACATTTAACTTTTAAGAATACCAAGATTTTTTATTTTTGTCTTTTTTCATTATTTGAATTTTTTCCTTATTAAAACGGTGCACACACTTCTTAAGATTATAATTTTTGTTGTTTATCCAGGTGAATCCATATAGTCAATGGAAGTCCTACTTTTTCCAAAGCTTCCTTCTTTCTTCCCCCTTTGGTAGAAGAAACCGTTCCTCCAAACATGCTAATAGTTTGATTTGGAGAAGCCATCCACCAGCGATCTAAGGATTCTGTGCGTGTTCCTGGTTGACAGAGGGACCATGAGCCTTCCTTCCTTGAAGCCAGGCATCAGCTCAGGAGTTTCTATTCAAACAGCTTGTCCCTTCTCCCTGGCAGCTCCTCCCAGGTGACCTACACATGGTTTAGGACCAACTCTCTCACTCCACACTGTTTGCCTCTCTTACTTCACATGAAATCGCAAAGATCCTTTATAGCCTCCTCTAGCTAATAGGGCTGTGGATACAGTATGCCTTTGGATTCATCCTCTTCCCACCACTTGGTCTCTTTTCTCTTGTGGCACACCTGCCCATACTACATTCTCATTCTCTGCTAATGATCTGGTTTACTCTTCTTCTTCATCCCTAGATACTTGGCATCAACTCCTATGCCACAGCTGTGTTCCCTTCAACCTTCCACCTTGTTTTCATTGCTTAGTATACACCATGATTACCCCATCTGTGCCTTAGTGATGTTGGGGGCTGGATTCTTCTCTGTGGTGGGCTCTCCTGTGTACTGGAGCGTGCTTAGTAGCACCCTGTCTCTGCTCATGAGATGTCAGTAACACCAGTGACAATCAAACGTGTCTCCAGACATTGACAAACATCCCCTGCAGGATAAACACCCAGCTACTTGGGAACCACTGGTCCATACACACCCTGAAGGACTTTGGGGATATTTTCATGGATTGCTTTGCAGAGCTGCCCCTTTGATCAGCTGTCCCATCCCTCCTACTGGTCACACCAGGTCTCCTCTGGGAACTCGCCTTACCTGAGTCAGGAAAAACTTCAAGGCTCAACTGGGAGGCCACCTTTTGCCCCTGCTAAGCACAGAATGTGTGGGAAGTTTTCGCTGCTGGGGCCCTGTGGTTTTACCTTACAACATCCTTGAGCCTTGTGGGTGGTGCCCTAAACAATTATCATGCTTCATATCCTCACTTGCAGCTGGGTTTCTCCAAGTGCAGGGCATGATCACGTAGAGCAATGGAGAGAGCCCTGGGGCTCAAGGACCAGAGAGAATCTTGATTCCATTTGTTATCTTGAGTAGAGAATGAATATCTACTCATTGCTGAATCTTCTTAAGCCTGCTGTTCCTCTACATACATAACTTTGATTTCCATTGGAATTAAATAGGAACAGTAGAATGAGGGTCAAATCTGAAAAATTCTCTCTTGCTCATCTAACTCCATACATTACATACCCTGAATATGTTCTCAGTCTATACTGTCTGTATGGTTTCTCTCAGGTGGCAGTTGCTTCTTATTGCTATTCTAATTATATTCTGAAGTCTTCTGCAGTTCCTTATTTGTCTTGTTTTTCTAGCCTGCTTACAGCCTAAAATATATTTTCCACCTGTACTTTGCTGTGTTTGCTTCTCCCACTTAATAATATTTATTGTACAATGATTATTTTTCAAGATTTTCCCCTAGGAGACAGGTTTCTTACCGTCTGTTGTGTTTAGATGTCCGCACCTCTAACGCGCCTGCTGTTTCTTTTGTCTCTTTGACAAATTCAGCCCAACAGTTTGGAATATTTAGTGTTGCGTTTCTCTCACTGAAGTTAAAAAGAAACTGCGCTGTGAGCCTGCCTTTTAAGGGTCATGGTGTATCAGCGTCTGCTGAACAGGTTTTCGCCGGGGGAGAGGCAGCCGTGGGTGTCGGCACACTTACTTTGAGATGAAAATGTCTCTGAGACTTCTTGATTCTCCTCTCTGAATTCTCCTGGTACCATTTCTTTGGTTGGATTGAGAGATTTCGGCACTGTTCTTTACACATACATGTGCATGTGTGCACACACACATACATGTAGTACGTCACAGAAATGGTCTACATCCAAATGCACAAACAGGTGACCTTGGTTTTTGGAGAATCATGTGCTCTACAGGTCACGAAGCACTTTGAGGAAGGCACCAGAAGACCAACACCTGGAGCTCTGCCTGCACTGTGTGCTACTGCAAACTACCCCAAATAGTTTTCATGATGGTTGAACCATAATTTGTAATTCACATCAGGTCATTGCTGAGCCCAAACACTCAGAATGTGCATTCCAGGTTGTTTTCCTGTGGTGTGCTGATTTAACTATAATGCGCATGTTTTTGGTACTGTTGTGATGCCAAGCATTATTAT